AACTTCTTGCTTGTGAAGTAAAAAAATATATAGAAAAAGAGGAAGAGAACTCAAAAGAAAATACGATTTTACTCTAAAATTAAAATCTGTACAAAACTGAAAAAAAAATGAAGTAAAGGCAAACGCTGCACGAGGCCAACCTCTTGAAACCATTAGATAAAATTTTGTGTAATCTTTTGGTACTTTTTGTAGTATTTTGAATGGTCGATTTTCTCTGACAGTTATCAAAGAGTGAACATAAAATATAAATATAAAAATTAGTACAGAGCATGTGAACTGTGAAGTATGAAAGGGAAAAGCCAAAAGGTCACATTAGAAAAATGATGATAGATAACCTGTGAATTGTCTTTATTTCACTTGAGAATCATATTAAATGTAAAATGAATAAAATATCTGCAAGATTTATGCTAACAACCCAAACTACTTTCTCAATGTTTTGATTATAAAGACACAAGAATCCTCAGACATGTAACATTTTATTTGGGATCATAGGTCTTGTCAATTTTGGTTATGCATCCCTGTTTCTTCATGCACACGTTTCATTAACATTTATGATCATGCATCTTGGAAATAAATGTAGAACTAGCATGCAGATACCGGAATTACGAAGAACAAAGTTGATGCTAATAAATTTCAAATTACAGATTCACAACAAAAATATTAAGTTCGGATTTGAGAAACGAAACTGTGTATAAACTAGCTATATTTTTTGAGTTTGTATAATTAAAAACCATATGATTTTATATATTCTAATGGGGCCAATGAAGAAGGCCCGTAATTACTGTTTGGCCCATTGTTTCACTCCTCTCTTCTTCTGTTTTTCCCGCCAAATTTGCCCTAATTGCTCCTTCTCTAGCGCAATTTCTTCCACAGTTTCGTTTATCCAAAAAAAATTTTTAGCGTTTCATTAATTCAACAAAATTATTTCAACTTTAAATTGTTGGGTTAATTAGCTCAATATGAATATTACGTTAACATATAAAGAATATAGCCATCAAAATATGATAATTAAATGCGTAACCAATTTCTTTGCCAATTGACCACTATGACTCTATTAAAGGTCACCAAAGAGAGGAAAAAATAATGCCACATCATTTTTTTTTAACTATTGTCTTATCTATCCCATTTCTTAATTTATAGCTTTAATTTACATATTGATTTGATTAAATGTTACAATCTTAGTAAAAAAACATATATACTTTTCCGCATCTAACATACTTTGAAATTTTCAAGACGAACACCAATGTTCTAAAATATGGGTTTGTATTAGTAACTAAAAAAACATGATTATATTCTATATAAAGTGAGGTGAATACTATTTTGTTCAATACACCATAGTTTT